ACTAGACTCCCATAGTTTACAGCATTAGTTTAGAGATTTGATTCCCTTGAGAAAAATGGGCATTTATTGTAACTGATATCCAATATAATCGATATTGAATCGAAATCGTAATGGTAATCGAAATTGAATCGAATTGCAAGCTTGTGAATCGAAATCGAATCGAATTGTGAAATTTGTCTCAATACCCAGCCCTACACTCTAAAAAATGCTGGGTTGTTTTAACCCAACTTTGGGTCAAATATGGACAAACCCGAAATGTTGGGTTAAAAATGTAATGTAAAAATTTAACCCAACGGCTGGGTTAGTCCATATTTGACCCAAAGTTGGGTTAAAACAACCCAGCATTTTTTAGAGTGTAGTATTTGGAACCCCTAAAAGGTTCTTTACACTCTTAAAAAAAAAGGGTTCCTCTGGGTTCTATATAGAACCCTGAGGTTCCATACTTGGCCAATAGAACCTTTTACCAAAAAAAAAAAAAAAAAGGTTCTATATAGAACCATTTTGGAGTTCCACATATGCGGGGGATGGAACCATTTTTGGTTCTAAATAGAACCATTTCTTCTAAGAGTGTAGTTAATTAATGCATCAATTAACATTTCAGGGGGAAATTAAATCAAACATGTTCTAGATCAGAAGAAAGATGTACTAAAAGGGCACAATGTGATATTGTTCATCAATTTGACACCAGCAACTGTCACAAACATCAGTGAATGACACTAGATGTCTTGCAATGTTTTTACATTTAACCTTTGAACACACAATGATACATTCATCATTAAAACTATGTCATCTCATTGTGTTTTAAGTGATTCCAATGCTGCCATCAAGAGTGAAATATCTACACTAGCAATTCATTGACAGATGCAATTTCCAAATTGCATTAATTAACAAGCATGTACTAAAGATGGTATATTCATGCAGGAATTTAAATGACTATCTCGGTTAGTTCCGTCTTAACTCGTCATTAGTTCATAGTAAAGTAAATATTAATTCAGGTATTAGTACATGTACTATTATTGTAAAGTGTTACCAATATGTTTTTGCACACATGTTATCGGGAAGCAGCGTAACACACACACGACGACAGGGAAGTGATGGCACTGTGTAAATCCAGGTACTCTCCCACATCTGAGATCTCTTATCGTGTGCTTTATGCGCAACTAAGCAATTGATACGGCTCTCTCACAGTGCTTGACATGACGGAAAACCAAGACCATTACAACCCTTCCTAATATTCAAGACGTGGTTTCGGCTTTGCTGTAGCAACCCGGTCTCATCCCAAATCGTCATATAACTGACGTTTTGGGACGTCTTTTGACCATACGTCAATATTCGCCTTTTTAGGGCCCCCTTAAACGTCGGTAGATGAGGTTATGGGATCCTAACTCTACCCCAGACCTAAACTTAACCCTAAACCTAACCCGTCACCTAACTGACGTTAAAGGTAAAGCGTCAGTTGTATGACGGCCCGGGATCGCCATCTACCGACGTTTAAGGGGGCCCTAAAAAGGCGGATATTGACGTATGGTCAAAATACGTCCCAAAACGTCAGTTATATGACGATTTGGGATGAGACTGTGTTAGCTGTAGTGCAGCCTTCTGTCGGGAAATCTGACTTTCCTTTGAGGTTTAAGGATTTCAAGTTTGTGCAAGAACACACTTTGATTGGGGCACTGGTATTGCATGTAGGGCATGTTCAAAGCATCCTCAAAGTGGTTGTTTCTCATCACATGACCATCCTTGCCCTGGTTGTTTGAAGAATCCCCCACAGCACATCATGCACTTCCAGGAGGAAAAAAGTGACACTTTTATCAAAGGTACGCAGTATAGCTCTACCTGCCAGAGTACTGAACAGCTGCTATAAGAAGAGTAACCATTAAAGAGAGGGAAGGGAATGAGATGAACTATACCATTTAAAACTCAATAATCCAATCCCCTGTAGAGTCAATCTGCTAATTGCTGTTAGAACGGGATAATCAGTCCAATCAATCACAGATCCGGACATTAAGCTGACACTCCAATTTACATCATGCACCGTAAAAAAGAAAACTTGCATTTCTCATTTGACACATAACCCATGTTTTTTTTGGCACATATTAATATATTTAGTGTGGTAAAATTTGTTGATTTGGATGTTACCAATAAAGTCATGATGTCTACTACTATTATCTACTACTAATCAAACTATTATTGCATAAGAAAGTTTTTTTTGCTGATGATCCTCAATCAGTGGGCATATTTACATTGATGGGAATTAAACACACTTTCATTTTTGTGCATTTGAAAGAACTTACTATTGTATTCATGAGATAATAAATAAAACCGGTTCCAGCTAGATCGACAGTGATGGTGTGTGTCAAAAACGCTTGTGTGCTAATGAATTATTTCATCAAGAATGCAAAAAAATAAAAAAAATAAAATGCCAATGACTTAACTAGTTCCACTTGCATCACATTTATAAATACTGCATATTTGCTATTGTTATACTGGTGTAGCCTGACATATTCATTTTCATTCAGTCATATTTCAAACTTTTTTGACCTTTTTTTTTCAGTAAAGCACTTCATAATGTAAAGGAAATTAATTTCAAATGATAATTGCCTTTGCACTGTCAAGACCATATCTTTTAAAATCTTTTCCTCTTAGCTATCCATTGTGAATGCATTTGAATAATGTAGTACTTTCAATTTTATTTAATAACTCTGAACATTTTATGATTTGACATAATCTTCCACATGCATTTATCAAAGTAATATAGCCTGTAGAGCTATTGCAATATCTAACAGTGTGTGCATATTGAATACACATTCAATTGATATGTCAAAGTATTCTATAAGAGTCCAGGCTTCAAAAAATATAACAACTTTTAATTTAAACTTCAAATAAATAATAAATGTCATCTTTACATGTGCCCTCCCTTCCTAACACATACAGAACAATATACAGAAATGTAATAAAGTTATCAAACAGTCTGCACTGCATTAGATCCTTATTAAAGCTACAGAAGTTCTTTAGTCGAGAGCAGGGAGTCATTTCCTCTGTTCGCTTTGTTCTTTGATTAACTTTGATGATAGACAGCTTTATTGGCTGCTGGCCCTTTAAGAGCAGACCTTCATTCTCTCACAACTCTTTCATTTAAGACTTTATTAAACTCATTTACGTCAGCTCTTATGTTATGAGGATACAACACGGATTGACATATTTGTGTGTGTTATTGTTCGTTCAAGTGCCAAAGAGAACTGTATTCTGGCACACAATACTGGTGTGTGTGTGTGTGTGTGTGTGCCTCACATAGACAGAACATTCACAGTCAGAGTGTTCTTGGCACGCTTGAATGGTTTTAAAGCGGTGGTAAAATGCCATATTCACAAGATGTAAAATAAATCTCTGATGTCCCCAGTGTGTGTGTGTGTGTATGTGTGTGAAGTTTTAGCACAAAAAAAATGATATTTTTATCTAGCATGTTAAAGTTGTCACTTTTTGAGGGTTTGCAAGAACGCACCGTTTTGTGCCTGGCCTTTTAATGCAAATGAAAATAAAGGGATAGTTCACTTTGAAATTAATTTTTGATATGTTTTATCTTCCCTCAAGGGCATCCAAGATGTAGGTGTCTTTGTTTCCGCAGTATTTTCAATTTTGATGTTTTTAGGTCAAACCGTTCGTGTCTGTCAGTCATATAATGGAGGTCTATGGTCACCACCTCAAAGAGCATGCACAGAGAAGTCCAGATTAAGCATGATTTAATGACTCGTAAATGTAAGTACACATTGATGGCCTAAGACACGAAACGAGCGGTTTGTGTGAGAAAACCAACAGTATTTATATCGTTTTTACCTCTTGTAACCACAGCCACGTCCAACTGTTCTGAGGGTGCAGGCGCTTCGGTCTGCGCAAGCGCTACATAGACATACAGCCTCAGAAGATTTACAATATAGTCTTGGATTATGTTGATGGTGGCCTTTTTGTTTTGTTTTTGAGACTTGAACTACATGGTCACAACGAACAGCGTAAATATTCTTCAAATATGTTACTCAGAAGAAGAAAAAAACAGCATTAAGGTTTTGAGCAACATGATGGCGAGTAAATAATGTTTTATTTTCTTTCTCTTTTTTGTGCAAAAAAATCCTGTAAAGTGTGTCATTTTAAACCCTTCCTGTTGGAAAACAGATTACTCTGGTTGAGGTAGATTGCAATTCCGTTTGATGCAACAACAAAAACCCCTAAATAAATCCTCTCTCACAGCACCTTTAAAGAGAATAGCACATGAATGATGTCACTAAAGCATTCTGAGTCAAGTAACATGTCAAAGGACCTACGATTAATATGCTAAATATACTTAATCTTGGATTCAGATCATTTGAGGTTTAATCTAATTGTAGCTAAACTTCAAATGTGATGTCCAAATGTAAAAGCACGGTATTACATTCATAACGTCTTTCATTCAGAAAGCAGTTTGTTTCAAAAGAGCAATGCAATACGTGATTTGCCAAAGGTCTATAAATATAAAGTCAAGGAAGAAAAAAAGCATGGACTGTTCTTAAGGTAGGTTATGCATTTGTGTCGGCTATGCATGAATATATTCTTAAATTGTCAGAAACTCAAATATAGAAAAGGCAAGTGCAGCCTAATTGCATTTTTATAATACATTAATGACTTTAAAAATCTCAACTGTAATTGAATCCTTTTTACTGGCTTCCCCACTTCTCTGGTAACCTGTCAGAGAAGTAATATATAATATTTTATGATTATTTCTGTAAATTAAAGAGTAAAGCACGCGCTTGCAACGCCAAGGTTACGGGTTTGATCCCAGGAGAAAGCAACCGATAAAATGTGCATTCTTTGAGCATCCGCCAAATGCGCAAACATGAAAGTAGATCCCATGCGCAAAACATGGTCAGGCAACACGATGGACAGAAAGTGGAATGCTAGGCTATTCGTCTTAGTGTAAAACATTTTCAAAGCACTTTCATGAGTTACTCTCGCGCTGCAAACTTGCTTACCCAGTGTGTTTCCGACCAGGGATACAAGGAAAACCATGATATATCCAGCTATGAGCACCCATTCATATTGTTTAGGGTGCAAATATTCCCTCCAAATGTACTTGAGAAGTTCGTCGTCGTCATCAACGTGAGAATGCGAGTAAATTTCCGTGGTGTTGATATGCAGCGCTGGCGTGGAACAGGCATCGCACGCGTCATTAGCGGTGATCGCGGACATGTTGCGCGCGGAGCCGGGCTCTCTCTCTCTCCAGCATCGCGGATGACTGACATGAGTGACTGAGGGGGGGAGAGAGAGGGGAAGCGGGATACAACTCAGAGTTGATGGCGTAGTGACGCAACGTGCACCTCTCAGCCTATTATCAATTAGTTACCAAGACAGAGAAGCTATATATTCTATAGAGAGCTTGCTGCATGGTTCTTAATGTCTCATGAGGATACTCATGTTTATTCAGGGGTAGCTGTCAGGTGTATGTCGCATATAAATGATAGCCTACCCACAGTCAAACAATCTTATTATGCTGTACTAGAATATATATATTTTTTCTTTGTGACAGGTTCATCATGTTGAATTATGCTTGGTGGTAAATAAAAAAGTAGAAGACAATGCGATTTTGCACATCACTTTTAACGATGTGTGGAGGTTTATACGGAAGCCCTGAACCGCAACCTAAAAAAAAAAAAAAAATCAGTAAAAAAAAAATAAAAAATCTGTAAAAAAAAAAAAAAATCTGTAAAAAAAAAAAAAAAATCTAGCATTTCGAGATTAAAGTCGAAATGTTTCGAGATTAAAGTCGAAATGTTTCGAGATTAAAGTCGAAATGTTTCGAGATTAAAGTCGGAATGTTTCGAGATTAAAGTCGAAATGTTTCAAGATTAAAGTCGAAACATTGTGCATTCATAACAGTGCACGTCCACTGGCTCAGAGCGCGCCTTTCGACTTTAATCTCGAAACATTTCGACTTTAATCTCGAAACATTTCGACTTTAATCTCGAAACATTCCGACTTTAATCTCGAAACATTTCGACTTTAATCTCGAAACATTCCGACTTTAATCTCGAAACATTCCGACTTTAATCTCGAAACATTTCGACTTTAATCTCGAAACATTTCGACTTTAATCTCGAAATGCTAGATTTATTTTTTTTTTTTCAGATTTTTTTTTTTTTTAACAGATTTTTTTTTTTTTTTTACTGACTTTTTTTTTTTAGGTTGCGGTTCAGGGCTTCCGTAGGTTTAAATCATAAAAGTAAGGAAAATGGTGCCCAAATAGTGCTGCATTTACAGTTTTTCTCAATTACTTAAACACTATTTGAACTAACATTTCAAAACTCTAAAGCCATTTATCAAAAAGCACAACTTCCCTGTTTTGACACATGAGTCAGAATTGTTGAACTGTCACTACAAAATTCTACACACAAATCCCTTAATATTGAATTGCCTAAATCATAGCATTCAGTATTGTTCAGCATAGTTTCAGCTCAATCAGCACACAATTACACGGGTGAAAACACTACAATAAGTTTACGTTTTTGACCAACTGCTTACACACTTAAATCTTTTCATTCTTCCACTAACTCGTGGCCTGATTGGAGGTAGCTCGTCAAGGGGCAGAGCGCAAGGATGGCAGCGTGCGCGCTCACTGCAGAAACGCGCCCGCGAGTGGATGGCATTCTGCGCGTGTTTACTGCTTTTTGCCCTCGTATCCTGTGCACGAGTTTTGAGACTAAATAAACGTAGGGCCGTTCACATATTGTGTCTTTTGCACTCTCAAGTTCGCTATTTCAAATGTAGGCGCGAGGCAAGCGCTCTCATAATTGAAGCGATTTTTTCCAGGCGCAGCGAGATGAAAACTTCAACTTTTGAAGCGCATCGCATTTCATGTGACAAGAACCAACCACCATTGAAAGCTCAGTAAACATGAAGGATGGGGGTGCGCCCAAACGCTACCGGCGTTTTTTTCTTCTCCATAAATAAATCTTGTAGCAGACCTACAGCAAAGCGTTTTTTCGATGGTGAAAATCTTTTAGCTACTAAAACTTCTTTGTCGTTGTGCTATGTAGAGTGCAGTGGATGGATGCTTAGCAACGACAGACGAATTTTACTATTAATAATAAAAGATAAGTTAATGTGCATTAATGTAAATGTCAAGTAATTTCTTTTTATAAAAATGATTTAAAGGCTAAAATATAGGAGGTTTTTCTTTTTATAAAACCTTTTTTTGGTGTGAAAAATGATTTAAAGGCTGAAACATATTTACTATATGTGCTTAGGGGTGGGCTGGGGCTGGCAGGGGTTGTGGCAATGTAAGTTTCTGGATATTTTTCTTCGATAACCTCTCTCTTCTTTGACAATACATGTGTTTGCATCCCTGAATCTGGCACCCTATTGTACAAAGTTAAACTGAGAGAGCGTGCGTTCACAGACACCAGAATGAACAAGTTCACAGTAACGTTCATCAGGCAGTAATACAGTACGTTCAGTTCATGTTCGCCCAAAATATGAACGAGTTCATGAACTATCGTTCAGGCACAACACTGGTGGCAATAACACAGTCTCATCCCAAATCGTCATATAACTGACGTTTTGGGACGTATTTTGACGTCGGTAGATGGCGATCCCGGGCCGTCATACAACTGACGCTTTACCTTTAACGTCAGTTAGGTGACGGGTTAGGTTTAGGGTTAAGTTTAGGTCTGGGGTAGAGTTAGGATCCCATAACCTCATCTACCGACGTTTAAGGGGGCCCTAAAAAGGCGAATATTGACGTATGGTCAAAAGACGTCCCAAAACGTCAGTTATATGACGATTTGGGATGAGACCGGGTTGGTGGCAACAGTAGCGTGCTGAACTCTCAATGTTCGATTGGCTGCATGGGTCTCGAGGATATACCTACCCTACTTTATGCCCTACTTTTTTTTTTGAGCAAGCATTGATTTTGCACAACACGGTCTCAATTTGCGGGGCTTCATTTCTTGGGTACAATGAAGTAAGGACCGTAGTACCCTGACCTTAAATCGGCGGGAGGAACCGGCTCTATCGAGTCTTTCAGATTCACAGACTTAGAGGCCGCTAAAAACTACATATAGCACCTTTAAAAATGGGATTATTTTATATGAAAAAGTTATTAATTATATTTTATTGACGAAATATTTTGTCATTTTTTGATTAGATCCGATAACATTGGGGGCGTGTTATTCACATTTCACTTCCGTTCAAGATCAAGAAATAACTATACACTGTATTAATGATACAAAATCCCATACTAGACATGTGTGACATTTTTGTGGAAAATAAAATGTATTATCTGAACCCTAAGTGGAGTTACACAAACTGAGAAATCCAAAAAGTGTTAGGTTTGCCCCACTAAACATACCAGTATTTGGCAGCTGACTTATATCATGCAATGACTTCGACAGCTTTTGTGCATGAAAATACCTCATGAACCTGTTTTCGGACACACTTCTAAAGCAGTGTAACGGTTTAATGATCTCCAGCAAAACAGAGTGAGCTTTGATGATAACTAAGCAAATATTTAATAAATACTAAAATAATTTCTCGCTAGAAATGACATCAGAAGTGGAAAACGTTGGTCAAAAACATACACTTACACACAAAGTGAGGGTTGTGGGATATCAAAGGCAGCGATTGATACATATGCTACCTTTTAAGAATTGCACAGACGAAGGTTTCTCAGGAGAAAAGTGGAACTAACATTGGATTAGGATGTGTCTTGATGCCTATCTACTGTACCTTTGAATGCATTCTGCAAAGCCAGCAGGTTTCGGGATCCACTATTGTCTTTTTATTGCCTGTTTCCGGTTTCCTTGTTCTAGTTTTGCCGCCAGTCAACTGTTACCATGGATATTCATTTAATTATCGCAGCTGACTCTGGGATTTTAATCATATTAGTCCTTCTTGACTTGAGCGCTGCCTTCGATACTGTCTCACATAGGTTGCTTTTTGACAGGTTAGTGTCTATTTGTATAACTGGCACTGCTCTGTCTTGGTTTAGATCATATCTATGTGATACAGTCAACGTATTCAATTGAAAAGTTTTAGATCAAGAATATCTACAGTCACCACTGGTGTTCCCCAGGGTTCTGTTTTGGGCCCGCTTCTTTTTATTATATATATGCTCCCTCTTGGTTATATTTTGAGGAAAAATTTTATTAACTTTCACTGTTATGCGGATGTCATCCCAACTTTACCTGTCTGCCAAACCCACCGGTTCTTTTCCTCCACGTCTTTGTCCAGCTGTTTAGCTGAAAATAAAGATTGGCTTTCTGCTAGCTTTTTGAAGATAAATGGAAACAAAATTTCTACAAAATTATTTGTACAAAATTTCTTTGTACATGGATCATGTATCACATGGATTGCATACTTCCGCTTGTGTAATATTAACCGTCTCCGTCCCTTTCTTTCAAATAATAATAATGGCGTTCTTCTTCACGGCACGCACTAGTCACTTCACGTATAGACTAATGTAACGCTCTTCTCACAGATGTTTACTCTAAACTGCTACATAAGCTTCATGTGGTTCAGAATTCTGCTGCTTGGGTTCTCAATAGAATTACCACATTTATACAGTTCTTCAGCAATTGCACTTGCTTCCAGTAAAGTATAGAGTTGAATTCAAAATCTTGCTACTTATAAAGCACATCATGATCTTGCACTACAATACCTTACTCAACTTATCCATGTTTACACTCCTTCACGTGAGAAATCGAGACTCATCAGACCAGGCAACATTTCTCCAGTCTTCAACTGTACAGTTTTGGTGAGCTCTTGCAAATTGTGGCCTCTTTGTCCTGTTTGTAGTGGAGATGAGTGGTGCCCGGTGGGGTCTTCTGCTGTTGTAGCCCATCCGCCTCAAGGTTGTGTGTGTTGTGTCTTCTTCACAAATGCTTTGCTGCATACCTCGGTTGTAACGAGTGGTTATTTCAGTCAAAGTGTCTCTTCTATCAGCTTGAATCAGTCGGCCCATTCTCCTCTGACCTCTCGCATCAACAAGGCATTTTGGCCCACAGGACTGCCATCGCATACTGGATGTTTTTCCCTTTTCACGCCATTCTTTGTAAACCCTAGAAATGGTTGTGTGTGAAAATCCCAGTAACTGAGCAGATTATGAAATACTCAGACACCAACAACCATGCCACGCTCAAAATTGCTTAAATCCCCTTTCTTTCCCATTCTGACATTCAGATTGGAGTTCAGGAGATTGTCTTGACCAGGACCACACCCCTAAATGCATTGAAGCAACTG